AGTCAAAAGCTTTTTTTTTGGTCAAGACTAATAACAAAAAAAGTCTTTTGTATATTCAGGTTTGTGTAGGACTTCTCTTAAAATACTTAGGTTATCCCCCCACATCACACAGCCTTTAATTGCACATGTTTGCTCTTTATCTATAATTTCATCTAGTTTATCATTAAATATATTCCTTATTATTTTAGCAATTATTTTATAGTCTGCATTCATGATGGTAAGATGTCTGTAATTATCAATATTTGTTCCATCACCTTTTATATATAATAAACAAAGAACACCCTGATAAAAAGAATCCCCCATACAGCCTCCGTGCAGACTTTCATTAAATATTGAAGTGAGCAGGTTTAAGACTTCCTCAATGTACAGCTGATAAAACTCAGTGGGCAGACCATCTGGACCAGAACTTTTCCCAACATGTAGCTGTTTGATGGCCTGCAACACTTCGTCCCTTCTTATTTCACCAATGAGAGTTAGCACATTAATATCTTATTGTTTCTCTTTTCCTATTTTCACTGAATACAATGCCGCCATCTTTGTTTTTTTTGGGATTTAATGAACTTGCTTTAATATTATTTATTTTTTTCAAGATTTTATAGCTTGAGCAATGTTTCCTCTTTTATTGGTTTCTGATTGTTTTTTATATATTATATAATAATTCATTATTAAGGCTGTCTATTTGTGTTTTTAAGTTTATAATGGTTTCTTCATCTGTAATAGATCTTTGTTTCATCTGCATCAAACTAATACACTGATTAATTAAGGAATTATGGTTTACATTTTTAAGTTTATTTATTTCTTTACTTTTAAATTTAAAGAAATCTTTGATTATATTTTTTGAGTATTTCCCATAAATTAGTGTAGGTTATAGTTAAGATTCTTAATTGAATTCAGTTATCAAGTCTGAGTCTTTTAAGTTTCCAGAAGCCTCTATTGGCTGAGGCTCCAGATGACAAAGAGGTTTTAACTAAAAGATGGTCAGACAAATTATAACACTGTTCCGTAGTGAGTTACTTTAAAATTAGAGGATACGGATATTTGATCAATACGAGTTTTGGTTTTTGAATCAAACCTAGTAAAATCAGTTCTGAGTGCACAGAACACCAAAGTCAGTATTCAATGAATCAGTTAACTTTGATTCTTCACACATTTCTTTTAAAAGTTTCCCCTCAGAGCTCAGTTTAAACACTGTGCTGCTGACTCTGTCATTTTTTTCAGTTACTTAAAATCTCCACATAATATAATATTAAATCCAACTAAAGTTAATTCTGAGAGTTTTCTGAACAACTGACATTTCTTAGTTACTTCTGGAGCAGTGTAAACAATAATAATGTGATATTTTTCACCCTGATAAAAACAATCCAACATCAGCAGTCTACCTGGAATAATGTCTCTTCTCCTGATTATCTCAACATCATGAGTTTTAAAGAAAATACCAACAGCATCATCACTGCTCTCACCTATTAATATAACACTGTTACCTTTATGCCACAGATTCATTACATCATCGACATCCTCCTTTGTTTTCAGTCTCAGCTCTTGAGTGCACAGAACACCAGAGTCAGTATTCAATGAATAATTAAATTTTCTGATGTCTGAAAGCACTCGACTGAATACCACGAGCATTCCAGGTGGCAATTTTTAGGAAGCTCATAATAAACAGGAGGATGTTAGTTCTATGGAGATGGTTTATCATCTAGGCGTTTTCCTTGTTTACCAGAGGAGAACGTACCTTGTCTCTTCTTACTGACAAGATTAAAAGGGGCTTCATTGTGAGGCTCGAGCATCGTAGGATCAGAGAACTCTGGAGTTGGGGAGAAGGAGCCTGAGCTACCTTCAGATGGATCTGAGTTTGCTTCAGAGTGCGGAGGGAGAGGGGAGCTACTGACCCGCTGACCTGCTGCTAAGTCAGGACTAAAATCAGAGCTCAGGCTCTCACTACTACTCTCATAATACTGCTCATCATATGCATCATCACTATCACTGTACAAGCTTTCACTTGAGCTCTTCTCACCTGAAGAAGGGGAGAGATCAGGTAGAGGTGTGGATATCCGTAACTCCGCTGAGGGGAGCAACTCAGATGGACCAGGCTGTTGCTGAAGCAGCCTGCCTGCGACCGCCATAGGACGATCAGGCTGCTGTTGTTGTTGTTTTCACAATTTTCTTATCCTGTTTGCCAACACATTTGATTTTATAATCAGCAAACTGCAGACTCACTGGCCTCCAATTCTTGAGTCTGTATTATCCTGTGCTGAGAACTGTGGTAAGTTGTCAAAATCCAGCAAATCCTCCACAGCTCTTTTCCTTCTCTAAGTTGATTCTGTGAGAACACTTCCATCAACTGAATAAATGGAATGAAGAAATTAATTTTGACCATTCTTCTTCATAACCTGTAGTTTGTGTACCATGTAGTGAGCAAAGATAGATGCTTAATATTCATAGCTCTGTCTAAACCAAATCTGGATTTGATAGAGCTGGTCAGAATCACTCAGTAATCTTTATTCTGCCTCCCTGATATTGATGTCATATGAAACTTTTTGTTCTGTTTTCACTTGTCAGCTGGGGGTCTTAAGCATATTTATTCACACTAACAAGGTGAATTTTGTGACATTACATTTTTCTCATATACAGAGAATGAATTCAGTACTACATATGCCTGCCTATTTATGAATACATAAAACATAAAAGACACAGCAGTCTTTGATATTATTGTGAGTGGTTTGTGGTGTCACTTAATAATGTTAAATAGATTTTAAAAAACGTTCTCTCAATCTACAGGTTTCACTCTGAAAAATGGAAGATTTCTACATTTACCACACCTCACAGGCCAACAGCTATAATTACAGCAACATCACCTTCGACAGTGATGATTATGGAGAGATTGAATTCATCAAGAATGTGGTGACATACATAATCACTGGTATCTGCATTCCTTTGACCCTTGTGGCCTGTGTGTTGTAAAGGCCAAAACATTACAGGAATAATTTACTCCTTGATTAAACTACACACATGTAGTTTACATATGTGGCTCCATCCCAGTCTTCTCTTCAACTGTTGAAGTTAATGGCCATTTTTTTACAACTTAAAAAAAAAAAATACATTTGAAGAGTTTGTCGGTGAAATTCTTACAGTATATTTTGGGCTCTTTATTCAGTGTTTTTATTAAAATTCCATCAACTAAAGTGTGAAACCTTATGAAGAAAATTATACATCCATGTTACCCAGATGTTGAAATGTTAGGGTTAGGGTTAACTGTGTTGCCATGAATTTTCATCTTGTGCCATCATCAGGAAAAACATTTATTTGTCCAATGCTTTGGTTTATTACTAACTAAACTGATGATATTCCCAGCCTTAGATTGACTGTGTGCTAATTAACAGTCGAATAGTGCCACTTAAGTAAATCCAGTAGAATCCATAACTAACCTCGGTTTATAGGTCTCCTCCTATTGCTTGCTTGATCCTCCCAGAAATATAAGTAATGAGGAGAAATATGCAAACTGTGACTCCAGTCTAGTGGATCTGTTTGACACATACAAAACACAAACATGTGTTTGGGTCAGAGTGTGTCATATCTGTGTCTGAAACACAGCTGCAGAAGCTGCAGTCAATCTGGTCCTCAGTCTTGTTCCTGCAGTGACTGACCAGTGTTTCATATCTGATATTTCTGACAGCAGAAAGGACAGTTTGATGAAACATTTATAAATAACTGCAATTCTTGGTCAAAGAAAGATATTTTGGAGGAGGTGGATCTCAGAACATGTTTACAGCTGCTAATGTTTTCCTGCAGGTGTGAAATGATCATTTTACTCCGATCTACGTCATCAACCTTCTCATTTCTGACCTCGTTCAGTTCTGTTCAAATCTTAGTTGATTTTTACTTCTTTGGTGTGATGGCCAGTGTTTGCTTCATGGTGTGTATCCCCCTGGAAAGGTAGCTATCTGTCTATCCAGTATGTGTGTAGCTACTTCTGTGTCTGACCATTATATTACTATAGAATTCTGAAGCTCCTCAAAGACTATGTGTCCATCTTGTATTACAGGTATTTGGTCGTCGCCTTCCCGCTTTGGTACCGCTTCAGACGAACCATCAATGCCTCTGTAGTGGTCTGTATTGTGGTCTGGGCCCTTCCTCCTGTCTTTCTCCTCACTTTCTATTTCTGGTTTTATGTCAGAGTGAAGGTGACGTTGTGCCTATCATCTTCTGCATCTTCCTCCTTATTCCCCTTTTTGGTTATGACACTGCTGTTCCTTCCAGCATCATTTGGTTCCATTTGGTTTTAACTGTTATATTTTTGTAGATCTAGATTTCAGCATACTCTCCTGTCAGCGCTGAATTATTCTGCATTGTACAAATACAGCCTGGGCTGAACCGCCACTGATTCTGGCACTTGATATACGGTCAAAGTACATGTCTAAATCATTGAAAAACTTGAATGAATTCTGAATTGTGATGTTGAAACATGTATGAAACAGAATACTTCACAACATTTGTTGGAAAAACGGATAAAGTTACAGACAGACAGAGTATAATTCTCTTGTCTTCTTTCCCCTGTAAAACACAGCAGACTCTATTTTGGTGAACTGAGTGGCGCAGCCAGATAATCAAGCGGGCCCTGCCAAGTGCGTCTGGAGCGTGCAAAGCCTCTTTTGGTATTTCATTGTCAGGCTCCCTTGTAGGACCTTTGGTGGACCTGTGGCGCACTTAGGGTGGGTGCATTAAAGGCTGTGACAATCATGGCCAATCACATTCATTGCTTTCACCTCCTTTAAACACAAAGTTTGAGTTTTGGGATCCTGTGAAGAAAGATACTAATTGTTATCTGGGACCTGCACAGTTTGAATGCAGCAGCTCAGATATACTGTGTGAAATAATTCCACTCAGGCCAGCAGGGGGGCAGTAATAATGTATTTGTGCCTGACTACTTTTTTTCTTACTTTCTTACAAGAGGAGGTGTAGATTGACAGGACCATTTTTACTGTAGACTAGTTAGATGCAGAGGACAACTCATCAGATGTGGGTGTAGGGAACTCATTCAGTTGGGCTCTTGCAGGTTTTTAAGGTACATTTTGTGTAAAACTGATATGTTTGTGGGTATATTATATATATATATATATGTGTGTGTATACTGTATTTGTGTGAACTTGCAGCTCACAGCTTTAGTAATATCATTGACCAATGTTAGGTAGATATTTTAAAAGCATGCTCCCTTTCTATAACCTGATCTCTCAAACTACAGGTTTCACCCTGAAGAATGGAAGATTTCTACATTAACAACACCTCGCTGGCCAACAGCTATAATTACAGCAACATCACCTCCAACAATGAGGATAACAAAGAGGTTAACTTTAACCTGCGTGTGATCTTTTACATAATCATTTGTATCGGCCTTCTTTTTACCCTCATGGCCATCTATGCTCTTTATTCTCAGGTATGTACATTAAGACTGAGATTGATTGATTTACTGTCTGTCTCATGTGGCACATGGGGCTGGGACAAAGTGTGGTAACGACCTATAAATTTAAAGGAATCATTTACTCAAAAATTCAAATTTGTATAAAAGTTAATTGGACCCTGAACACTTACAGTTTACAGTTGTGGCTCCATTCCAGCGTTCACTTAAACTGTTCATGGCACCATGTAGGTAAAACTCAAAGAAAAACAGAAAATAGTCATCAAGATTGTCAGAGCAACTGGTACAGCATTATCAGAGGTGCCTGGAGGTTGAACAGTAATAACTTTAGCGATGTCCTAACTTTCCATCTTACGCCATCATCAGGTCAAACATTTGAATTTGATATATGACCACATACCTACAAAACCGATTACATTCCCCTCAGCCTGAGCTGTATTTTGTGTTTATTAGCTGATTTTGATGGCGACCATTACCTGCTAACATGGTAACATTGTCTTTATGAACATTTAGCTAAATGAACCACTGGGTACAGCCTGACAGACCTGCTAGCATGGCTGTAGACTCTTAGGGCCAGATTTACTAAGAATATGGTATTTTGCAAATGTGTGCTGCTGTTTTCATTGAGTTTACAGTTAATCTATGTGTATTCAGCGTCTGATTTACTAAAACAGTGGATCTGTTTGATAAAATCATGTGTTTAGGTCAGAATGTGTCATATTTGTGTCTGAAACAAAAAAAATGCTTTTTCTGGTCAGAGTAAGATAATATATTTGGGAGGAGGTGGAGTTAAGAACATGTTTACAACTGTTTGTTTACTCTTACCAATGTTTTCCTGCAGGTGCGAAATGATCATGTTGCTCCGATCTACGTCATCAACCTCCTCATTTCTGACCTCATTCAGCTCGTCTGCTTGACTGTTCTGGTGGCATCACCTGAGGATCAGAAGATAGTTAAAATTTTACTATTAATCGCTGATTGTTGTCTGTTGGCCAGTGTCGGCTTCATGGTGTGTATCGCCCTGGAAAGGTAGCTATCTGTCTATCCAGTATGTGTGTTGTTACTTCTGTGTCTGACCATTATATTACTATAGAATTCTGAAGCTCCTCAAAGACTATGTGTCCATCTTGTATTACAGGTATTTGGTCATCGCCTTCCCGCTGTGATACCGCTTCAGACGAACCATCAAGACCTCTGTGGTGGTCTGTGTCGTGGTCTGGGTCATTCCTTTATTCGTTAACCTCCCTTTCATTTCCTCGGATGATGTTAGGGTTGAATTTATCATCTTTGGTGTCTTCCTCCTCTTTCCTTTCCCACTGTTGATATTCTTCCTTGGTGGTACCCTCAAAGCCCTGTCTGCCAGCCGAGTCCCCTCTGATGAAAAACGTAGAATTGTGGGAGTTTTGGTTCTGGTGCTGCTTATTTACACACTGCTGTTCCTGCCCAGAATCATTTGGTTGTTGACAGAGGAAACAAGAAGGTGTTTTACCTTGGATATTGTGTCTTCCGTGTTTCTTTGGTTGAATCCTCTTGCAGACTTAGTTCTGTATGTTTTTCATGAGGAAAGGGACCATAGACAAGCTTTTGGCCTCTGTGTGTTGTTGCAGAATGGACAGCAATGATATCAGCAGTTCATCAGTATGAATGATGACAACATTTACACAGTCAGCTTCATGTAGGCAGAGAAAGAGAGAAAGAGAAGAAAACAGAAGGAGCAATGTAGGCAAAGGCTTATAGGCTTCAACAGATTTAAATAAGATACAAATTCTTATTAGTTTATTATCTGTTAGGTGTCCATCATTATTATCGTTTAATCACCGAAGTGAACCAGATGTTCTTTTGTAATTACCTAAACTCATTATAGCTGCCACACCGTTTTAATCCTAAATCTTTATTTATTATTACAGTATATGTAATTTTATATGATTGTACAGTTGTACATTTTCTGGAAATCCAATAAAGGTTCTACCAAAATCTCTCCTAATCTCAATATATATATGAACATGTGATGGCCCAAGCCACACAGGGTAACAGCCAGCAATGAGGTCTGTCCTGGTGGAAGAAAGGCGTGGCCAAGGGTGGAGGATGGTTATATCGTGCGGCCTACCAATCAAGCCGTACCATGTGCTGCCATGATGGAGGGGATTTTGGGTTTAGTTTGTTTTACTTGTAGTAGTTGTAGTTGGCATCCATTTTGTTTTCACCTTATGGGTAAATTGGTTTGGCCAAGCCACTATATATGTTCCCTTGTGTCTCATTCAGGCAGGTCAGTTTGTTTAGTTCATATTCTGTCTGTTGTATGCTGTTTTGAGTATAGTTATATTTTGTTGACCTCTTCTATAGGCCTAAGATGTTAAATTCTTGGTTTCTATTGTTTGGTATTTTTGGGTAAATAAAAAACCCCTATTTTTCAACAAACTCCTGGTTTTCCTCATTGCTTGACTGTTTGGTCCCTGACAGAACATAAAGCTTAATATTGTTGGTACCAGGCAGTTGTTTCTGTTCATGTTTTCTGGGTGTTTTCCATCTTTATAGAAATAAAATGACATCTGTTTGACAGTTTGATTATGACTGAATTAAACAACAACAGTCTAATATGTATGTGATTGTATCAATTATGTTCTGGATAGGTCTGTATTTACTGATAAAGAATGATCAACTTTATTCATTTATCAATTATCATTCTGTCATCTTCATCCTGATCACTGACCTCATCCAGATGTGCAGATAATAGTATTAGCACTTACAGTTTTATAGCACCCAACACTCACACTTTACTACTGAATGCAGACTTCAGACATCATACTTGCTAATGTTGCATTATTGTTCATAAATAACTTATTTACTTCAGTTGTCACTGTGTGGGCCTCCCTTCTTTGTTATACTCCTGAATGAGCCGGGAATAACACACCAACTTACAGTCCTAATTGGAAGTCTGCTCATACAAAGAAAGAACTGAAAGGCCACAAGCTAAACTGACTGTTATAATGTGAGTTACATGGAAGATTTTTATCCAGCTTGAAGGATAGGCAGCCTTCCTCTAACTGATTTGATGTGTGGGTTAATAGGCTGAAGAATGTCTTCCCTTATAAACTTATAAGCTTCAGTAATTTCCCATTATATACAATGTTGTCCAGTAGGCCTGAGGTGAGTAGGTAAAACCTGTATCTGTTTAAAGTCACATGTACATTTAGTCATATGACAGACAGAGGAGTTTAATCCAATTTACAGACACAGAAACACAGGAAGTTGCTGCAATGTGTTGATTGACAGATTACAGACACTTTGAGGCTGTTATCTAACAGCTTTCAGACTTTATGTTTTCAACATGTTTTATATGCTGTTTGTACCATACATTAAAGTTCATGCTTTTAGGTCTTTAACATGTGTTAAGGTATGGTTGTTGATTGCTAGAAAATCCATTGTCTTTTCTTCTTTTTGTCTTTCAGAGTCTAATTTGATACCTAAAATTTAATTAATATTTTTTTAGATGCAGATTACAGGGAACTTTATTGTCTGTGCTGAATTATTCTGCATTGTTGTAAAAAACACAGTCAGGGCTGCTCAGTGCTGTTTGTGACTGAAATTGGGCCCAAGTTACATTTAGCAGAGAACTACATGTTAGGTGTGGGTGCTGCAGCAGAATTTGGTTTTGATCCGATACCATCACTGCGATGTTTGCTATGTGTCAGATTAAACTGGTCAGCCACATCGTGCACATAAGCACATAAGACGACAACAGCAATGGAGAAGTAAAGTGTACATGCAGTGTACACAAAGAGCTGCTATTACTGAGTGATGAAATTATACCATTGGCTGTAATAAATAATTACAATAGTTAGAATAAGTCCTCTATGAAATAAAACATCTTCAGATGTGAGTGGAAAGAGTTTATAATATTACAATTAGTATTATAAATGTTATATGTTATAAAATGTCACAGTCCTTGTGGTCGTGAGGAGGTGGTCGGAGGAGGCTTATGAGACACTGCAGGCCTGCTTTGAAGTGACTGACTGGCCTGCACTCTGTGAGCCCCATGGGGAGGACATTGATGGGCTCACAGAGTGCATCACGGACTACAGTATATCAACTTCTGTGTGGACTGCAATGTCCCAGCTCGGACTGTAACCTGCTACGCCAACAATAAACCTTGGATCACTAAAGACATTAAGGCCATTCTGAATGAGAAGAAGAGGGCGTTCAAAGATGGCAACCGTGATGAGGTGAGGAGAGTGCAGGGGGTACGCCAACTCAAAATCAGGGAGGCAAAAGACAAGTATAGGAGAAAGCTGGAGAATAAACTCCAGCGAAACAACATGAGGGATGTGTAGTCTCTGCTGCTGGCTACCCAACAACTGCCACTTTATCTCCCCCTACTCCTCCTCCTTACAGACCCCTTGTCTGCTCCTCACCACCTCAATTCACACCCACCTACTCCACCCCTCCCCCTGCTCTACAACATGTCCTCCACAACCTGAGGACCTCACCCCTCCCCCCACTGTCACCTCTACAGTGCCCTTCACGCCTGACCTGGTGAGAAGACAGCTGAAAAGACTCCACTCCGGCAAAGCTGCGGGCCCCGATGGTGTACTTCCCAGGGTGCTTAAAGCCTGTGCCCCCAGCTGTGTGGAGTACTTAGTCAAGTCTTC